AAAAGGAATCTAAGAGGAGTTGGATAGTGACGTGATGGAAATAGGCCTAAGTCTAGGGTGCCCTGATAAGGCAAACACAAGGCCAAGTATCATACTTACCTGCTGCAGTGTGAAGTACTGGAAAGAGCATGGGCTTTGGAGTCTGACAGACTTGGATTCAAATCCCAGCTCTGCTACATACTGGCTGTGTTACTTTGAGTAAGTTACTTAATCTCTCTGAGCCTCACTTTCCTCACCTGCAAAATGGAGATAATACCATTATCAACGTAGTGACCCTGAAGGGACGTTGTGAGGGTTAAATGAGACAATAAGTATAAAACTGTCGTCAAGCACCTAGTATATTAACTTCCTGGCTTTCTTGAATGCCACCAACTGGATCTCCCTATCGTACTTCCTGAAGTGTAAGTAAACTGGACTTTTCTTAAACTTTACTAAAGCTCCTGTCCCATTACCTAGAAACCACCCCAGGAATCTTTAGTGCCAATTACACGTACCTATAACTCTATTACTCAACAGGAGCTACAGTGTTCAAACAGCCACTTTCCTCTACATAAACAATTATAAATATTCCTGCCAGAAACTTGTCTGGAGATCATATAAACAGATCCCAATGATTAGAGATTTCAAATCCTATCACAATGAAAATCCCTATAAAAAAGTTCTTCTAAGTCCTAGTCAGTGACTAACTTATTGGATCAATATTAGACTAAAAAACTAAATAAATATATTACTAGTAGTAAGTACCTTTAGAAAATTCAATTCTACACTATGTACCTTTCCAAAAGCTAGTCAAAAGCCCAAACCAATATTTGCTTTCCTTACTATAATACTAAGTCCATATATACAATATGTGTATATATATCAATATATATATATTTAAATTCTGTGTAGTATATGTATCATATTCCAGGATAACACAGAAGTAAATTTATCTAACCAAGTGGCCTATATGCATCTTATTTGCTAAAATTATTCTATTTGAATGATAATATAATGTTAATTATGACTTTTAAATGTATGAGTATTTTTTCATTCTGAATCTTATTCCTCCAAGGAAATAATTCATAATAATTCATGTTTGTGATTACAGGAAGATATGTAATCAGTGTAAAAATTCAAACATTACAGAAATACTGAAGATAGAAATTATAATTCCCCTAATCTTATACCCTCTTGTCCCCTGATAACATATTTGGTTTACGTTCCTATAGACTTTGTTTTCTATGCATATAATTTAGGCAAGTTTTCATAAGAATTAAGGTTTGGGGAGTGAAAAAGGAAGCAGCAATGAGGGAAATTCTTTTGTAAACAAGCTTGCTAATGCTAAAAACATGCTTAAATGCAAAGGCAGAATACAAAACTGCATACACCATATACTCCATTTTTGTCTATAAACAAATATCAGAAAATAACATTAGCCTCCTGGGAAATACAGATCAAAGGCACAACCAGATACTACTTCACACACACACGAATGGGTATAGTCAAAAAGATATAACAAGTGTTAAGGCTGTGGAGAAATCAGAACCCTCATACACTGCTGGTGGGAATGTAAAATGGTATATAGCCCTTTGGAAAGTTTGGCAAGTCCTCAAAATGTTAAACACAGAGTTACTGTATATCACCCAGCAATTCCACTCTGAGGTACATCCAAGAGAAAGTAAGACACACGTCCACAAATATCCATAAAATGGAATTCCTGATAATAAAAAGGAATGAAGCACTGATACATGTTACACCATGAACACTGAAAACATTACGCTGTAAGAAACCAGTGACAGAAGAGCCACATACTCTATGATTCCATGTATATGAAATGTCCAAGAGTAAATCTATAGAGACAGAAAGTTGCTTAGGCCTAAAGAGTTGGGGGAAAATGAGGAGTGACTGTTAATGAGCATGGAGTTTTTCCATAGAGTGATAAAAATGTTCTAAAATTGATTGCAGTGATGCTTGCACGACTCTGTAAATACACTAAAAACTACTAAATTGTACACTTTAGGTGAACTGTATGACGTGAATTTTATTTCAGTAAAGCTGTTAGAAAATAATAACATTCGTCATTTCTGGATGATGAACAATTAGTAATCTTTGTTTTTTTTTATTTATATCATTTTGTAATTGCCAAATATTTGGTAATGACTAAGACTATTGTTTTTTAAAATCAAAGGGAAAATTATTTTTCAAAGTGCTCCTTGTGAGAAATACAGTGATATTACACTGGGGATTGAGATGGAATTGTCACTTGAATTCATTTAGTTATTCATTCATTCATTCATTCAATATCTACTATGTGTTCCAGGAATCGTACCAGCCTGAGAAAAGTTCTAACTCCAAATCAACAAATTACATCAATTTAACAGAGACTTCTCTCTTGACTTCAAAAGATCAATTATACATCATACCACCCACTGACTTAACAGCTTTACTTCTGCACCAAAGGTTATATTTAACTATGCAAGAAGTACCAGAAAATTCTCTTCATTTAAATAACCTGTTTCCAAATTTTAAAACTCCTTTTAATATTAAAAAAAAAAGAAAGCAACATTTCAAAGTTTGATAGCAGAAAATTCAATTTTTACCAAAAATTCAATTAGCAACAAGAGGTAATAACCCAAAAACAATGAGAATCACTTAAGATACTTTATTGGCTATCAGGTCGATCATAACAAGAATCTTTATGTAAACTGTTACCAAGATTAAAACAAAGTCAAAAGAATTCCTCGGCAACAGTCTGTCCTGAAATTGGAAAGATCACAGGCTGAAAGCATGGAAGAGAAGGAATAAGAGGTATATGCTATTTTTGTTATTTCAGGTACATGTACGTAACACCTATCTGCTGAAAATTAAATAATCATAATCTCCAAGGATAGTACCATCAAAAGGTTTTGTGGGAAGTGGCTGGCTTCATTTAAATTCTTAATTAGGAGGGCAAAACAAGGCATCTATATTTTGAAAAACTTCACTGGTTACACTGAAGTGCAGCCAGGCTTAAAAATCACTGCATGAAATAATACTCCTCAAAGGAAACAAGGGAAAGAAAAATCTGTTTCATAATTTAAAAATTAGAGTCAACATAGCAAGTACACTGGAGGGAGAAAAACTTGAGAACAAGGAGACTAACGACACACTAACCAAAAGCCTGGTGGAGGCATGTGGGTCTGAACCAGGGAAGCAGAAAGCAGAATGGATCAAGTCAAGTCCAAGCACAGGCTGCAGGAATTACTGACCAAATAGTTGTGGGAAGTGAAGGAGAAACAAAAGGCAAAAGTGACTCCAAGGTCTCAAACAGTAACCGGATGGCAAGGGATACCATCAACCAATGAAGGGAAGACAAAAAAGCTGGTTTGAAACCTAAAGAGCAACCAGACAAAAAGTTCAAGAGGTTTTAAGGTTTTGTAATGTCGTATTTGTCATGTTCTACTAAATTGGAATTTTGAGTACATCTCCTATAATACTTGTAATGTCCTACTGAAGTTGGATACTGACTACATAGGGGTTCGTTTTATTATTGTTTTTCAAATTGAACATACAAATATCACAAAATTCAGGTACAAACAAGGAGTTAAAGCCCTTATGTATCATATATATAATAATGAAAAAAGTGGGGGAAAAAAGCAAAGTTGAGGTAGTAAGTTTGGTTTGGGACCTACTGAATTTGCAGAAACTAAAGAACTCTATCACTCATGAGACTGAAGTTACAGGGAACAAAAGAGAAATTAGAGAAGTTTGGAAATGGTTAGCATACAAAGATAATGCCATGGAAGCAAAGGATGTAGATAAGAAGTCTCAAGGACAGTCTCTGAAAGACCCTGGGATGGCGAAGAGCCAACAAAAAAGGAGTCAACCAAAAAGAGTAATTAGAAGGGATAGAAGCCCTTACTAAACCCCTTTCCCTCTCCAAAGGCATACAGAAGAAAATCAATTAAAAAAAAAAAAAAAAGCTACCATTTATCTTCCTAAATTCCTGTGGTTAAGTCCAGAATTTCCAGTTAGGTGGAGTTAGAGGAATAATCTGTTTGAAAGAGGGCCTGAAGATGTGTTTATCAAATTAGAAAATATTAACTGACCACCTGAAAACACCAAGAGAGTTTTGAGAGAAATAATTCCTCTCCCTTCCGTCATTAACACTGCTATATACCTGGCATTGCATGAAACTGATCATCTAATCTTTTATCCCCATAATAAGCTTATTAGATGGATGAGGAAACTGAAGCTGGAGCAGAATAGAACTGGAATAGAAACTTGTTCAGGGTCACAAATCTTCCAAGGAGTACTCTCATCTGGCTTCCCAGAGCTCTCATAACTCTTTATACCTTCCTAGACTTTCTCATTACTCATCTTATTTAATGTGTATATATGTGCCTCTCTCTCACTGTACTGTTAGCTCCTCAATGACAGGGTTTGTATCATTCTTTTTTGCATTCTTATAGATAGCAATAAGTAAATAGTGTGTTGAATTAAGCATATGAAAGAACTAGGTGAGAACAGCATCAAGAAAGCCAACTGGGGAAAGAGTTTCAAGAAATGGTCAACAGTGGCAAATGCAGAGAGAGCCATCAGTGTATCTGAAGTCATCACTGGCACTGAACTGATATCCCTTATTCATTTATGAAATGCCTACTATATGCAGGACAACGTGTTAAGCACAACGGACACGGAAAAATAAAATCTGGTACACGCCAAAAGGTTTTCGGAGAAGTAGCCACATCTAAATTCTTGATCGGGAGAGCAAAGCAAAGAGTCAGGCCTGTAACTGCCTACACCTAATCTGGCTCAGGTAAATCTGAAAACTACTTAAAAGGGTCACAGTGCATCTTTTAAGAAAACTTCTGATGGGGCACACGAGATGAAAAAGGACCAGTGCACCTCAGTCTCGGTGACGAAAGCCGGTGGCCAGGGAAGCCGACTCCCTCCGGGGTCTCTGGCCCCCAAGGAGAGCTGACGCTGCCCCTAGCTGCCAGTCCGTGGTCGGGGGCGGGAAAAAGCAAGACACTTACCGCAAAAAGCACCGCTACCGCTGTGGCCCAAAGGGGCCGGGGATTCTTTCGCGAGGCCCCCGCGCCGTGGGAGGAAACCAAGGAAAGCAAGGATCAGACAGACAGGTGCGACTCCACAGCCCGACTTCCCAAACTATACAAACTGGAGCTCCGGAGCCCAGCACCGCGACGCCAACTCCCACCAGCTGGAAGACGGACGATTGCCACCGAACCTTCCGCCCAATGAGGAAACGTCACCACTCGCCAAAGTCCAGCCTTTCATGAAAAGGATACACTTCCGCTTCCGGGGCACCTGCCGCATTCTCTCCGTACTTCTACTGAAAAGGTTTATTGAGATGTTTCTTTGCTTCGATTGGCTTTTTGACACTCCGTTTTCTATCGCTTAATCTCTGCGACAGCAAAGTGGCAAGATAGAACGCCCTCTGGGGATGCGATCCCAGGAAAGAATTTCGACCTCGCTAAGTCGCTTTAAGAAAAAGTGACTAGGCTGTGCACGGCCAGTTAAGAGGAGAGCGGTGAGACTTGGGCGATTAGAGAGCAGGGAGTCCTCCCCGGGAGCACGTGAGAACTCCAAAAGGGGCGGGGCTTGGGGATTTCGCAGCTCAGAGAGTAGGGTTCCTCTGCGTCGGATCTGGCGTGGAAACCCGTATCTGCCTGCGCGTGCGCAATGCGAACCTTCCCCTCGGCTGCTTTCAGCTTTCAGCATGGAATTCCGTTCCGCGAGGCGAGCAGTCCTACAGCTGCTGCGTACGGTGACTCCCGCAGACCTCCCAGCGCTCCTCGATTGGATGCGAACTACCCGTAAGCGACCAGAGCCAGACGCAAGGGGTTGGGGCAAGGATGTGCTATGGGCGCTGACCTTGGGGACTTCAGACTGGGTGAGGCCGAAAGCCTCCTATGGGTCGCTATGCTGGTCCCCGCTCGAGTACAGGGCTGATTGATGGGGGCACATCGCAAACCTTAGCAGCTTCAGAGTCCAGTTTGGGATTGGGTGCAGGAACACCTGGCTCTCGGTTGTTTTTGACTGCGCTGCAGACTTCAGACAAGCCCCTAGAGGCTCTTTGTAGCTAAGCCTTTTCAGAGGGGAAATAAGGGGAGGGGGATTTTGCCCCTCCTCCCTTCCCCCATTACTCCCACAAACTTGGGACTACCTGTGAAGAAACTACCTGAAAAAGCACTTTGCAAAAGAAGTTTCGGGCTGTGGAGCAGGAAGCTTTTACCCCAGCAAGCGAAATTACCTGTTGGCTAGTGCACTTATTTTCCCAATTGTAAAACGGACCGTCGATTTGATAGCAGTTTTTCGGGGGTGAGGGAAAGGATAGAAGGGGGTGGGGATAGGGAGAAGACTCTGATTTTAAACTGTTAGTAGAATTAACAGTAATAAAAGGCGCAAGTTAGAATCGAGGAAATGAGGCGATTAGGTAGACTTATTGAAGAATGATTAGATCTGTTTTGGCAATGTGAGGCCTGGTGAAGCACACGAAAATAGGATATTCCTTGTTTGGGAGCTGTGCCAACCTAGGCTATGCCTCTGTACCTCTCAGCGTTGAATCCTATGTTTATTTACATCCAGACCCATGACTTGAAATATTCCTCTGTGCTAATGACTTCCAAACTTGACTTCTTCCTAGAACGCTCTTTCTTTGTGATTTTAGAGTCAATCAGTAGGTTGACATTATTATTATATTATTATTATTATTATTATTGCACTTTTGGAGAAATTGTTTTAGAAATTAGTTTAGACGCCAAACTGAAATTAACTTGGACAACTGGTAGTGAAGTTTAGCCTGGAAAAGTAGAGAAAACCAGACAGGTAACTTCATACATACACACATAGCAAGATTCAAGATAGGAATTGCTGAGTATCCTGTCTTTTTTTTTTTTTTTAAGATTTTATTTATTTATTTGACAGAGAGAGATCACAAGTAGGCAGAGAGAGAGAGGGGAAGCATGCTCCCTGCTGAGCACAGAGCCCAATGTCGGGCTTGATCTGAAGACCCTGAGACCATGACCTGAGCCCAGATCCCAGGACCCTGAGACCATGACCTGAGCCCAAGGCAGAGGCTTAACACACTGAGCCACCCAGGTGCCCCTCTCCTGTCTTTTCATTAAACCTTCTATTGCCAGTCTTATCGATCATATCCCAATTAATTATACAATGTGCAAATTTCCAGGGTTTTTTCTGCATTCCTCAGAACAAAAACTGAACTCCAGAAACCCCAGAGTGCCTACAAAAAATGCCACGTACTGCCTGGTTCTGGCAATTGCACAATTAATTAAAATATCCTTGCCCTCAAGATTTCAGTTTTATGGAACCATTTGTAATCTAAATCTCCAGTTTTAGAGGCATCGTTTGAGAACTTCATTTTTAAAAATCAGGAAAACTTGCAAGGATGTTTTGGGTGATAATTCTGGAAAAAAGAAGACCCAGTATCACTGGCTAAACAGTACCTTTTTACTCTTAAAAAGCACTTTCTGTGCCTTTCTCCAGCACACCCTTTAGTCAGAGAAGCTCATGCATTTTGTTAAATGATTTAGAAAACAACCTGAGTTTCTGAGAATATTTATTAACGTGAATATTTTAAGAAATGAGTGTATCACTTAAAACGGAGTGTTTTAACATATATCTTAAAAGACAACTTAATAGTATACTGTTTCAAGTGGTAAAAAATGTATAACGTAACATTTGCCATTTTAAGCTATTTTTAAGTACACATTTCAGTGGCATTAATACTTTTACATTGTTCAGATCACCACCATCTATCTCCAGAACTTTCTCATCTTCTCAGGCTGAAACTAAGTATACCGTTTTATGAAGTGGCTCTAAATAGGGCACAAAAGATTCTTACTATTTTCCTAATCCGTTTCCTTTTTCTAGGAAAAGAAATTATCTTCTATCTCTAGCATTAAGTCACTTGCATAATATCTCACTTTTCTGACATATTCTTAGACCTTCAGTAATTATAATTCTCCTTAAATTTTTCTACCATTTAGTGGAATAGCAAGAGACAATAATAGACACTAAGTATGACTTTGGTTTTGAGTTTCATAGTTTATTGAAATTAAAAAACATTACAGGTAAAATCACAATAATTTTAGATGCACAAAAGAAAGAATAACATTCTTGATCTCTGAAGGAATAGTGGGATTATCTCACCAAGACCTGGGGTCTTTTAGGATCAGGCTGGTAGAACCAGAAGCTTGGACCAGGGCAGAGCCAAGTACATGTCAATGCCTGATAAACTGAAGATTTAGAAGAAATAAAGACAGGAGCCTACATTTTACCTTGGGTACAGCATAGGCCAAAGATCTGGGAAGCAAAGAACACTAATATAGGAAGGATGAATCAAGTCTGAGGGGCAAAGCACACAAAGATACCCACCCCTCCCCCCCCCCAAAAAATAGTAAAATACAGCAGGATCTCAGCTGATTGATTCTTATCTTATGGCACAGCATCTGTTTTCTTCTATTTCCTGTATGTATGTAAAGTGGGCTCTTGATCTAGATTTCAAAGTATAGGAGAGTGACTGCAATCCATTAAGTGAAGGGAGCTAAGAGCCAGAATTGCAAGTGGGATCCCCAATAAGCATATAAAAAAATACACTGGGGGATGTCTGGGTGGCTCAGTTGGTTAAGCCACTGACTTTTGATCTCAGCTCGAGGTCTTGATCTCAGGGTCATGGGTTCATGCTCTGCTTTCAGCTCTACCCTGGGCGTGCAGCCTACTCAAAAATTATTTAAAAAGGGCGCCTGGGGGGCTCATGGGTGGCTCAGTGGGTTAAAGCCTCTGCCTTCGGCTCAGGTCATGATCCCAGGGTCCTGGGATTGAGCCCCGCATTGGGCTCTCTGCTCAGCATTCCCCTCGTTCTCTCTCTGCCTGCCTCTCTGCCTGCTTGTGATCTCTGTCAAATAAATAAATAAAATCTTTAAAAAAAAAAAAAAAAGGGGGCACCTGGGTGGCTCAGTGGGTTAAGCTGCTGCCTTTGGCTTAGGTCATGGTCTTGGGGTCCCGGGATCGAGTTCTGCATCGGGCTCTCTGCTCAGCGGGGACCTGCTTCCCCCTCTCTCTCTCTGCCTGCCTCTCTGCCTACTTGTGATCTCTCTTTCTGTCAAATAAATAAATAAAATCTTGTTAAAAAATTATTAAAAAAAATACATTGGAACAGCTGTTAACAGTGCTTTTCTGAGGCCTCTGAATTTTTCTTGGATATGCAAATATAAATGAGAAAGTCAAGCCCACAGCCCATACGAATGCCTATTAAGAATCAAGTTGCAAAGGATAGAAAATTAGGGTTTGCTTTAAGAAGATTAATAAAATCATAAGAAATTAAAATTAATGCTTAAAGAAGATAATAGTAGTTGACCAGAAGCTTTTAGAAGCTTTACTGTATCCTGTATTTTAAGTATATCTTCACTGACCAGAATTGGACATGTTTGTGAGCACAGCTACAGAGCTGTTAGAAGTTTTTTGAAATTCCTGCAAATCTAAAAAGCCAACCCCAGTTTCTAATTACGTTTGTCAGACAGCATACTGCCCCAGTTCCATATTGCATTACCACTGAGGAAGTATCAATATAACAAAGATATTCCAGGCTTTATTGAAACCATATGAATCTATGAAAGTTATCAATTACATGTGGTAACAAATAGATTGTTTCTTCAAAAACTAAAAAGTTATACTGAGCAAATTGGTACCTCTTTTTTTAAATTGGTATCTCTTAAAAATTTTTCTATTAAATAAAAAGAATTATACTTTTCTTTAAAGTGCTTTTATACCTTAATATAAGGTATATTAAGAATGGACACGATATATGAAAAAAAAATACATCACAAACAAGTGAGTTTATCCTGAGAATGTATTGTGCAACATTATAAAATCAATGTAACTCACCATATTAAGTAAAAAAAAGCTATGTTGTTATCTCAATAGACCAGGAAAAGCATTTGACAACATCCAACATCTCTTCCTGATAGTAACTCTCATCAGACTAGAAGGGAACATTCTCAACCTGATAAAGGGCATCTGTGAAAAATCTGCAGCTAATCTCATACCTAACAGTGAAAGACTTGAGTTCTTTCCCCTAAGATCAGAAACAAGAATGTGTGCTCCTCACTACTATCATCATAATACAGCTTCTGGCTAGTATGATATGGCAAGAAAAAGAGGAGGTGGGAGGCATTTCAATTAGGAACTGGTGAATGGATAAACAAATTGTGGCATATTTTTATAAGGGGATACTAGTTGGCAAATAAATGGGAAGACATTTGTACAATAGCATGTATAAATTATACTAAGTGAAGGAAACCACACTAAAAAAGACTGTATACTATATAATTTCATTTATTTAAAACTTGAAAGTGCAGACTAACCTGTAGTGACAAAAAAATAGGTCTCTGGCGGCTGAATGAGTGGAGGGGTTAGAAGAGAAGGATTATAAATGGTCAAGAAGAAACATTTGGGGGTCTCAGGTATGTCCACCATCTTGATTGTTAAGTGATAGTTTCATGTCTGTATACATACATCAAATTTGTATAATTATATACTTTAAATATGTACAGTTTATCATGTATGAATTCTGTTTCTATAAAGCTATTTTTGTTTTTGTTTTTTTTAATGGCTGCAAGTTCTTTAACCCTCATTCCATGAAAGGTCTGATCTGTATTCTCTACCTTTGAGTCTGGATGGGCTTTGTGACAGCTCTGACCAATAGAATATGACAGAGGTGACACCATGTCAGTTTCAGATCCAGGACTTAAGAAACTGACAACTTCTACTTTCTGTCTCTTGACATTCTTGGTCTGAGAGAAGCTAACCATCATGTATGCAGTCTGACTACCTTGAGATCATCAAATTGTCAGGAATTCCCAGCTTTCCTATGGAGAGCAAGATGCCCAACCAGGGTATAACTGTTCTTACCATCCAAGTCCAGGCACTAGAACATGTGAGTAAAGTAGCTATCTGAAATGCCTAGTCTAGTCAAGTCTTTCTTACAAATAACATTGCTTGAACATGTGTAGATTTTTCTGTTAATGTAAGTTTTCATCTCTGTGATAATATTCAAGAGTGCAATTGCTGGGTCATATGGTAAGTGCATTTTTAGTTTTATAGAAACTGCCAAACTGTTTTCCAGAGTGGCTGTAACATTTGCATTTATACAAACAGTATATGAGTAATCCAGTTTCTCTGCATCCTCACTTGCATTTGGTCTTACCAATATTTTTTCATTTTAGCCATTCTGTTAATTTGTGTAGTGATATATCATTGGGTTTTAATTTCCATTTCCCTAATGATGTTGAACGATTATTGATCATGTGTTCATTTGCCATTTAAATATCCTCTTTGATGAAATATCTGTTCATATCTCTTGCCCATTTGTTTTTTAGATTTTTTGTTTTATTTATTTGACAGACAGAGATCACAAGTAAGCAGAGAGGCAGGCAGAGAGAGAGAAGAGGAAGCAGGCTCGCTGCTGAGCAGAGAGCTCTTTGAGGGGGCTCCATCCCAGGACCCTGGGATCATGACCTGAGCTGAAAGCAGAGGCTTTAACCCGCTGAGCCACCCAGGCACCCCTCTTGCCCGTTTTTAATTGTATTTTTGGTATACTGTCACTTTGAGAGTTCTTTATGTATTTTAGATATAAGCCTTTTGTCATATGTGTGGTTTGCAGATATTTTCTCCCAGTCTGTAATTTGTTCATCCCCTTAACAAAGTTTTTAAAAGCAAAAATTTTTTAATATTGGGGCGCCTGGGTGGCTCAGTGGTTAAAGCCTCTGCCTTCGGCTCAGGTCATGATCCCAGAGTCCTAGGATCGAGGCCCGCATCGGGCTCTCTGCTCAGTGCAGAGCCTGCTTCTCTCTCTCTCTCTGCCTGCTTCTCTGCCTACTTGTGTTCTCTGTCTGTCAAATAAATAAATAAAATCTTAAAAAAAAAATTGTTTAATATTGATGAGGTCCAACATATCCACTTTTCCTTTTTTGGCATCAACTTTAAAAACTGTTTAGCTCTAGATCCCAAAGATTTTCTCCATTTTTTTTCTCTTCAAAAATTATACAACACTATATTAGTGTCAAGTTCTATGTTATCATTGTCTTTTTCCTAAAAGAACTGTGCTTTTGTCTTTTGCATATAATTCTTTGGTCCAAATTAATTTTTGTGTAAGGTGTGGAGTTTAGGTTGAAGTTCATTTTTTCCCCTATAGATGTCCATTTCCTCTAGCACCATTTGTTGAAAAGGCTATCATAATCAGTTGGGCATTTTTGTGTGGATCCATTTCTGAGCCCTCTATTCTGTTGATTTATGTCTCTCTCCCTGACCAATACCACGCTGTCTTGATTACTGTAACTATTGTTTAAAAGTACCTTCTTTAACTTCCAAGTGTTTGGAGATTCGCCTGTTACCGACTTCCAGTTTAATTCCATTTATGGTCAGAAAAGATACTCTGCATGACTTCAGTTCATTTAAATTTTTCTGTATTTGTTTTATGACCCAGGATATGGTTTATCTTGGTGAAAGTTCGATAGGTACTTGGAAAAAAGCTGTGTACTCTCCTCTGTTCAATGCAGTGTTTTATAAATATCTGTTAGGTCTTGTTAGTCGATTATATTTTTCGGTTCTGTTTCTTTGATGATTTTCTGCCTTTTAGTCTTTCAGTTGCTGAGAGTGGGGGAGTGAAGTGGGGCAGTGAAGTTTAATTGTGGATTTGCCTCTTTCTCCCTTCAGAACAGTTTTTGTTTTATTTATTTGAAGCTCTTGTTTAGCATATTCACATTCAGGATAACTATGTCTTTTTGGTGGATTGATCCTTTAATAATTATGTAGTGTTCCTCTTTGTACCTAATAATTTTCTTTGTTTTAAAGTCTAGTTATCTCATATTAATATAGCCAGTCCCATTTTTTAACTAATGTGGGCACAATATATTTTTCCTATCTGTTTAGAAAAATTCATTCTTCCTATAACGTTATGTTTGAAGTGAGTTTCTGTTGACAATATATAGTTGGGTTGTGTTTTTAAATCTACTTTGCCAATCTCTGTCTTTTAATTGATGTATTTAGAGCATATACATTTAAAGTAATTATTGCTATATTAGATCTTAAATGTGGCTTCTGTTTGTTTTCTGCTTGTTCTTTTTCTTAACCTATTTATCTCTGCTTGCCTTTCTATAAGTTACTAGGACAGTTTTAGAATTCTGTATTTGTTTTTCTGAGTATATCTCTTTGTATAGTTTTCTTTGTGATCACTCTTTTTTGTAGTTAAATATATATGTAACCCATCACCATCTACTGGTACAAGTGTTTTATCAGTTGAGTGGGGTATTGAAATCTTACTTCCATTTAGTTCCCTTTACCATCCCCCACTTTTTAAGTACAATTGTTTTATATCAGATAGTTATATCAGATGATTTCATAAATTTTGATTAAACCATCAAATATGTTTTAAGAAATTAATGACAAGAAAGATAGTCTCTTGTACTTACTCTATTTTTACCATCCTGTTTTTTTTTCCTTTCTGAAGTTCCAAACCTTCTTCTGCTATTTCTTTTCTGTTGTAGAACTTCTATAGCCATTCTTTAAGGGTAGATCTACTGGCAACAAATTCAGTTTTTCCTCATCTGAGGATGTCTTTATTTCCCCTTCATCTCTGAAGGACAGTTTCATAAGATATAAAATCCACAGCGTACAGACCTTTTTTTTCCCAGCACTTGAAAAATGTACCTCCTTCTGGTTCCCATGGTTTCAGATGATTAGTTCACTGTCATTCAAATGGGTATCTGCCTACAGAGAGTGAATCATTTCTCTGATTTTGAGGTTTGTTCTTTGTCTTTTATTTTCAGAAGTTTAATTATGATATGTCCTTGTGTGGATTTCTTTAGCTCTATCCTATTTGGAGTTTCTCAGTTTCTTAAAAACCAAATTTGGGGGGGTTTTAGCTATATTTCTTCAAATGCTTTTCAGACCCACACTCTTTCTCCCACTTCTGCAACTCTGATACTAATATTAGATCTTTTGTTGTTGACCCACAGATCTCTGAGGCTCTATTCTTTAACTCAGTCCGTTTTCTCTCTGTTGGTCAGATGGAGTAAATTTTATGTCTGTCCTCAAGTTCAGTTGTTCTGCCCTCTGTCATCTCTACTATTAAGCCCATCCAGCAAGTTTTTAAAATTTTGATTATTTTGTATTTCAGTTTTATAATTTGCATTTCGTTCTTTAACTTCCATTTCTTTGCTGAGATTTTCTGTTTTTTTTTAACTTGTTAAAATTCATAATTGCTTATTGAAGCATTTTTGTGATGGTTGCTTAAAATCCTTCTCTGATAATCAAATTCTGGTTCACTTGGATATTGGATATATCATCCAAAGAATGTCAGATTCAGATTATGAAACAAATGATTATTTTTCCTGTTCTTTGTATGATAACTAATTTTCCATTATACTAGGATAATTTTGATTGTATCCCTGATATTTTGGAATATCTGCGATATCCCAAGTTGCCATCTTGTCTTATGCTCTTGTTCTTATTCAGATTTTTTATCTTAATAGGCAGTTGCCTTACTTAGTTTTAACTTACTGGTTCTTGGCCTGATAGCAATTTAGTTTTCAATGTCCTCGAGTGCTCTTCAGCTCTGCTTTGTTCTTTGATACTGTAGCAGTTCTTGTTGAATCTATGCTAGTGTCACTTGCATGGGGAGAGAATGGGCTACCCTGTCTCGCTGAGCTGCCTTCCGCTAGTGGGGGTGGGGGAACAAGCAATTCAGAGCCTATTTTATTCTCCACCACTGGGCAGATGACTAGGAGATGCCAGACCTGGATCTATTTATGCCCCTGGGTAGAGGGCCTGGAGACTGGATAGTCTGCTACTGCCCCAGGTGTGGAGTGGGACTTAAGGTTCCTCAGTAGGTCTCCCATTGTTCTTGCTGCTTTTCTTCCCCCTGTGCCTGTTGGTCGTTCTGGGATGCAGGTCTCTTTGGTGTCCAGTCTAAGCTACTTGGAAGATAAAAAGAAAACCCAGGCAACTCCCTACTGTGACCTTTCTTTTTCTTTTTTTTTTTTTTTAAAGATTTTATTTATTTATTTATTTGACAGAGAGAGATCACAAGTAGGCAGAGAGGCAGGCAAAGAGAAGAGGAAGCAGACTCCGTGCCGAGCAGAGAGCCCAATGTGGGGCTCGTTCCCAGGACCCTAGGATCATGACCTGAGCCGAAGGCAGAGGCCTTAACCCACTGAGCCACCCAGGTGCCCCCCTACTGTGACCTTTCTTAAGTCCTAAGACTCCTAGACAGTTTACCTTTTCTTTCTAGCTTTCAGAGTCTTCATAATTGCCTGTTGAATATTTCCAGTGTATTTAGTTGTAGGTAGAGGGAAGGAACAGGGTAAAGGGAGGAAAGTTGCCGTCTTGTCTGGGACCAGAAGTCCCCTCAATAAATTTTTAAAATTTGAATAGGTACTTCAAGAATAATATATAATATGAATGAATAATAGGTAATATATAACCCTGTGTTTAATTATGCACTGTAGGTCATTAAAGGTAAGGATATGGGTGAGTTAAAGCTAGAAATGGAGCATAAAACCTCATGGAGGAAAAAAAAAAAAAAAGCCTCATGGAGACAAAATAACTTGGACAGGCCCTTAATGCAAAGGGCAAGATCATGCAGTTGAAAGGAACAGTATGAACAGGAAGGGCTATGGAAAACAACTGGGGGGATTTGCCTGTCTTGAGGAGAAATTATGCCAGGGGGTGATGAGAATAGAAAATAGGATGGGTAGGCTCTGCTGATATAGAGGCCCTTAAATATCTAAAATGAGATTTGCTAGGTTGAATAGTAGAAAAATGTCCAAAACTTGTAAGGGAAACAAGTAACACGAAAGTGAGGTTTAAGATGCCTGGCTGGTTCAGTTGGTGGCACATGTGACTCTTGATCTCCGGGTTGTAAGTTCGAGCCCCATG